CTTTTTTCTACTATAGAGGCTTCCTGCCCACAAGCAGCCCTTGTTAACGCACATCGCATCCACAATCACCTCAGGAACAATTCTAGGATTCGGTGGTCGTATAACTCCATCTTCCATTGTTGATGGGATCATAGACGACCTCTTGGGTGTCCTTGAAGCCATCGGATAGATCTAATGTTTGAAGTGAAAATAAAAATAATTATAATTCCTTCATTTTATCAATTATATTGCATTTTCTTTGTTTTAACTTAGTTTTTTTAAAAATTGTAGAAAAAATTAATTGTGATCAACCAAAGATATTCATTTTGATAATTTTGAAAAGATTTCATTAATATCTACCACAATGGTATATGACATTTCCATTAACTCATTTTTTGTTGCAAAACATATTAACAATGAATTCTAGTATAATTATTCACCTTATGTGAAAAATGAGTTTAAACGAATGATATAATCCGCTAAAGATTAATGCATAAAATGTTATGCATTGTGCACAAACTTGAGTGATTCGCCTAAATTGCTCCTGACAATCTTCACAATTATTATTATTTTCCTTTCAAAAATTTGAGAATTCACTTATCGTTTACATATTTTGACTTGTCTCGATTCACTCACGTTTAAAGATATAAATTTTGTATACATTTTCGTCAAAACACAACCCTTTTCTATAGACATTTTTTTTACTCTACTTAGGTCTCTTTGTAAATTCATTAAAATTTCATTACTCGCAATATTTTCTTTCCACTTCATTATTGGTTTGATAATGATTTGAACAACCAAGCTCACCCATCTATCCCAACATCCATACTTCAACTTCCCTCAAGCCTCCAGCATTCCTAAAATCATTCGACATAGCTTTCTTAGTTGGGTTTATACAATCTCTTCTCTCCAATCAACTCTAGTAAAGTTTCATTTTCCAATAAAAAGTACATAAAGTACTATATGCTTACCTCTAATAAAAGTTATGTAATGTGTTTGTTACAATGTCTATGTGGAAACAAAGTTATATGATGTAATAAGAAAACTCGAGACTCTATGATTTGAATGATGATGGATAACATAGCTACAAGGAGAAACATTACAATTGTTGCCACATTATTTTTTTATTCAAACATATGGAATTTTATTAAGTAGTCATATGGTAATTTGACATGTCAATTCTCAATAGAGGTACAAGATAGATAGGAGGCCTTTGGGCCCTAACTTCTTCTTCTTCCCATCCACATATGATGTGGGGCCATCTGGTGGCTGTTTGTTCTTTTCTCTTCCAGCATAAGCCCATTCGAGCCTTCCATTTCTGCTTGCCACCTCTGGGAGCCTTCCCTTTGAGAACATCGAACTTAGACTACTAGGTTGCCAGACTCTTCTCACCCAAGCGCAGTCCCTAAAAATATGCTCCTGCGTTTTAATTAGTCCACAAAACGGACATTCATCATAGCCTTGTTGAGTTCGATCCAATATTTTCTTTCCCTGTTGGGAGGAAATTGTTCACCCATCTCCATCCGAAAACGTTCACTTTTAGAGGAATATGAATTTTCCAGTATCTTGTCCAGTTCACTGGGATATAGACCTCTTCCGCTTGCTCGTTTTGCGTTATCCTCCATTCCTCATAGGCTGATCTCACTGTGTAGCTTCCATTCCTCTCCAGCCTCCACACTTTTTCATCCTAAGTTGGTTGTCTGGGAATTGGGGTTTTGAGGACTTGCTGTATTTCTATAAGATTAAAATAGTGTTGTAGAATCCGTGCGCCAAGATCGAGTATCATAATCAATCAGTTCTGAATCTTAGGTGCTCCTATTAATAGTCCTAACCGGTGATGTAAGTTAGTTCCTTAATAAAACTTTTCTTAGTAGTACCACTGTTGCATTTGAATTCCTTTTTTCATTTTATCCAAAGCTCTCGCCGCCATCATCCTTCTATATTTCAGACTGCCAAACGTCTCTTTGCTCCAAGCAAGTAACTTCCCTTCAGAATTTGCAATCCTTTCCAAAACACTTATGTTCTCTTCCATCCCCCAAGGTTCTTTAATGACTTGTTGGCAGTTCTCATGTCTTTGCCAGTAAGGCTCAAATCAAAACGAAAACTCCAGTCCCATTTGACATCTTCTTTCATTAGCTCTGTCTGTAGCAGTATTGGATAGTGATCTGATCCACATTTCCTTAGATGATAGACTCTGGCATGTGGGAAACGTGACTGCCAACTTGTGTCTGGCACCATTATGTCTAATCTTTCCTCGACATAGTCCTCAGTTGTTTTTGAGTTATCCCATGTAAACGTCTTACCAAAGTATCCCAAATCATCTAGACCAACCTCATCCAGAGCATTTTTAAAACCTTCCATCTCCTATGCATCAACCCACCTAACTCCATTATTTTCCTCATAGCTTGCCACCTGATTAAAATCCCCACAGACTAGCTATGGTAAATCCGATAGATCCTTCAAATAAGTCAACAATTCCCAGGTTTTCTTCTTATTTTCATGTTGTGGCCACCCATAGTCCGCCACATTGCCATCCATGATTTGTTTGAGACCTGGTTTGTTTCTCTACCATCATCTTTTATCATCAAGCTAGATTCCATCTTCCCCTTCTTCGTTGTTCCACCTTCCTCAGTCTGACTAGGTGTTAACTCCTCTGTTTCCAGTTGTTCCATTTGTCTTTTTTGAGGGGTCACATGGGTCTGCTTGTTTTTTAGTTTCTGTCTATCCTCCTGGGTGAGCCGAGTCCAACATCTCTTCCTTCATTTAATATGTGTCTTCGGATCCCCTGATCCCATCGCAAACTTTACATTCTTTGATCAAAGCTCTTTATTTCTCCCTTTATTTCCAGGTTAATATCATCCTTCAGCGGTGTTGTGATGTGCAACTCTCATGTGCATGAAGTTACTCTAGGGGTTTGAATTCTTTTCATCAAACAATAGGAATCGTCCAAATCCTGGAGCAATCTTCTCAACCATCTTTCGAGTTCTCATCTCTACAAGTATGAAGGATATTTTTAGCAATATTTCCATGTCTATCATCTCCTCTACTTTTTGGCTTTCTTTCTAAGTTTTCAGACTCGAAAATCAGTAGATTATTGTCATGATGCCAAGGTCCTCCATGCAAATCTTCATTTATGTTGTTGATGTGTGCAAATTGAAAAGCCAATAACTTACTTCCTATATCTCTTACCTCAAACGGCTTTTGTGTATGCCATACTTTTTCCAGGACTCTTTGTAAAGCCCTCACCGTTGGTTTGTGAGAAGCTACCAGCCTTGCCACCAATACTAGCTTTTTCACTGCTTCCGCAATTCCTTCCAAGACATGTACAGTATCAACAACAAAAATAGCATCATCATTGTCAGCTGGGGTTACACTCTTCAGCCCTGCCTCAATTTCCTTCGCGACTTCATTAACAGTTTCCTTGTGATCCACGTTTTGTTTCTGGATATGCTCGTGTGCCTCAGTTAAGGGCATATCTTATTCCTTTTCTTTCATCGCTTCTGTGTTATCCCTCAAGCTATCATCCGTACTCATGTTGTAAGGTAACGGGAGTTCCAAATTTTATTCTTTCTAAATCAAAAACCTCGACTGCAATAGAATACTTTATAGAGCCCCTCAGTGCTCCTTTACCTTTTTGATCACATTCCCTATCGAACTCCAACTCCGAGATCTCTTAATCAATAGTATTCCTCTCGTAAAAACTGTAATAGACTCTCAATCTGATGCCAGTAAGCAAAAACAATTGAGATCGATGGAAAAAACCTAGGGTTTTCGCCGATTCTACTCTCCGAAACTCTCGCTTCTCGAGAGACTTTTTGGGTTTTATTTGCTTGTTGCCACATCATTTTTTGTCCTTGGTTATTGGATTAACATTAGATATAATGTGAAGCAAAGGTAAAGTATCTCCATAACTAGCAACTAGTATTTCCCAGCCTGATGAGTGACATGTTTTATTTTATTTTTGGGTTGTAGGTATAATATTTTCTTCTATTATACAGTTTTATCAAACATGTCACTCTACTATATATTACATCAAACATGCCCTTATACTTTAGGAAAATTATCAAACATGTCCTAATGTTCAAATTTTCATTTAAAAATAGTCAAACACGATCGAACTGAGGTTCAAAAGACCGGATATCAGCAAAACAGAAGGGAAAATGTTATTTTTTATCCTTATTTGTTTCCATAGGTCGCATTATAGTGAAATTATTACATTGGGATATACAAAAAATACAAAAAATGTTAATTTGTTAGGAAAATTTTAGACATTTGTGTCGTTTAGGGGGGTTTGGTGAAGGGAATAGGGGGTATGAAGGAAGTTAAGCAAGGTTGTCAACCCGCTGGTTGACCCGTTTTGACCCTGACCCAGTGAGAAAAACGGGTTGTGCACACCCGCCGGGTTTACTTGCTACAAGGTTGCCGGGTTGGAGGTTATACGGTGTAATTTTTTCCTTGGAGTTGCAAAATGCGTCTATTTTTCAGGTCTTCCTCGTCGCCTGGCTCTACCTTTTGAATTTTAAGTTGAACATGTGAATACTGATACTATATATTAATGTTGTTACTCATATTTTAGAAGAGATTTGATATAATTTATAATCGTATGAACAATATAATGATTTTTTCATATATCCGAGCTAAAGCAGTCAGACCATTAATCTTCAACCCACTTGCTCGACCGAACCAACGGGCTAAACCGGATTGACAACCTTGGTCTCTTGAAACACATTAAATGTCGATATTGACATATTTTATTGCTTTAGATAAAGGCCAATACTTTACTACATCGTTTTGACATTTCCTTGCCCTTGCAACAAGGTTGTCAGGCGTCAGCCTGATTTAGTCCATTGGTCTGGTCGACTAAGTGGGTTGAGGGTTTATCGTCCGACCGTCTTGCCTCAGTTTAGCGCAAATATATGAAAAATTCGTGGTATTGTTCATACATTTATAAATTATATTAAATATCAAGTAACATATAACATTATACCAAAATCACTTGACGTTCTTTGATAGTGAAACTTAACACACTTATATAACATCAATATTTAAATATTCAACTTAGAATTCCAAAAATATGGGTAGGTGAAGAGGAAAACCAAAAAATGAGCGAATTTTGCAAACTAAAGGAAAAAACGACAGTATGTGATCTCCAACCCTGTAATCTTGTAGAAGGTCGACCCGAGGGGTATGTCTAACCCGTTTTTCTCACCAAATTAGGGTAAAAGAGAGTCAATCGGCGGGTCAACCCACAAGTTGACAATCTTGCCCTGCAATGATTGTTTGATGCAATGGAAATGTGGTGAAAGTTAGGAATAAACTCTGCTCTACCATTGATAGAAAATATGATGTAAAATATATCATTATTGTGCAAAATAAAGAAAGTTAAAATCCATTAAGAAGTAGATGAGAAAGAAGGCGAAAGATCCAATCCATTAAGAAGAAGATGAGAAAGAAGGGAGGGGAGTTGGCCATAGTGGGTTGTCACATATGATTGTTGATGGTTTCACCCTGATTGCTGGTGGCATCAGGATGCAATTGCAATTTGGGTCACCCAAAGCTCCAAGAACCTTCAAAGCTCTGGTCCTCAGGTTCAACAGGGCAATTGAGTTGTGAGATCTGAGGTACACCTCCTGTGGATCATCTGGATTCATCGTCACGAATGAAATCCATCGAAACACGAGCATAACTATCCGATCCCCACTCGGATTGTACACGTGCATCATGTCAAAATCTTCCACCATCTTCCATTTCTTCCCTGAAACTTTATAAATTTTCAGCTTCTTTCTACTATAGAGGCTTCCTGCCCACAAGCATCCCTTGCTAACGCACATCTCATCCAAAAACACCTCCGGAACAATTCTAGGATTTGGTGGCCGTATAGCTCCAATCACAGCATCAACTACATTGTTGATGGGATCGTAGACAACCGCTTGGGTGTCCTTGAACAACCAGCACAGACGGGGGCTGCCATTCTTCTTCTTCAATTCAACTGCAACAACCATCTCTGTTGGATAGTCGGGCCCAATCGACCGTGGAAGGGATGGCACAGTAGTGGCTGTCCATTCCCAGGATTTGGATGAGAAGACTTGCAGCTCGAGGGAGCGTCTGCGTCGAGTTTTGAACTCGAGAGGGAGCCGTATGATCTTGAACCAACAACCACCATCGGAATCAAAGTCGGAGACGAAGCTGACATGGGTGGCATGTGGGAAAATGGAGGAGCAAAAAGGAGGCGGGGGCTTGACTTGAAGCCACTGCTTGGTGTGAGGGTTGCAGACCACGTAAATGGGTGCGAAATCATCGAACACGGGGCCCTTTCCGGGCGTTTGTGTGAAGAGGAGAGGCGCACAGAGAAGTAAGCCGTTGGACGACCCTAGGATCAAGTCCCTGGTCGTATAATAATTCGGCGGGTGCCACTTGCACAAGCCGTTGGACCCTAGGATCACCCTCTTCTGGTTCTCCTTCAAGTTCTGAGGCACTCGTTGGAGAAGATCATTGTAAGTATCAACTCCGTGTAGCTGTGAAATGTCTGGAACGAAATCAAGGGAGAATTTGAGTCTCTTCCTCTCGTCCTTGCGGCGGCCTTTATTATTGGGGATCAGGACGGCTGATCTTTGTTGGGGGTGGGAGTTGAGGTTGCAACTGAATGTTGTACTCTTCTTCTTCTTCTTCTGTTTCTTCCTTTTCTTACTCTGCTTCTTCTTCTTCTTCTTGGTGTAGTAAGTTGAAAAGAGAGGGTTTTGGATGAGTGACAGCCAGTTTTTGCAGACGGATTTGCAGCGGAAGATCTGATCCAGTGGGAGACGTATCAGAATTTTCGTCAATAACTCTTCCGGAACAACATCGTTAATCAAACAGCAAGAGCTACCTCCTTTGTTACTCTTTCTAGCCACCTCCTCTGTCTTCTCCATCTCTGAACCAACCAAACCAACTACCAAAACCCTACAACAATTCGAAATTGATTCAGAGTTGACTGATAATGGGTTCTGCACTCCTGCTCATAAAAAGCTTCGATTCATTTCAAAATCCCAAAGAATCGATCCATCATTTCTAACAAAGTGAAAGAAAGTGTTCTATTTCGGTACAATGAACAATTAGGACCTAAGAAAAACCCACATTCCTTTCCAACTATGAGTTCAATCGCATACGAAGGGCCAAAAGAGTTACCTAAATGCCGTCGATTTTCCCCCGCTGGAGCGGTGTGACCGGAGATGAATTGCCTTCTCCGGGAAGCGGCAATTGGGTTTTCCGGTTGTTGATTCAAGAAAGAAGGACGCAGAGAGAGAGAGAGAAAGACTTGACTTGAGAGAAGAGCCAGGTTTGAGAAAGAATGAGAATCTGAGTAGGAGACTAACAACGGCGAGTGGAGTCCGGCCCGTTCGTCGTGGGCCAGCCCGAAAATAACGCTGGACAAGAAAATTATCGGCCCAAGAAAACGCGCCCGGCGAACAAAGAAGAAGGAATCTCGTCTTCCTTGCTTGAAGCCTTCCACTCTTTCTGAATCTGATCACAGCCAGCATTAACTGATTAAAGCCACGAGCCCCTGTAGCACAAACCGAAGCAACAAACACAATCCAGGAAAGCTCTGGAGAAGGAGCACTGAAAGAACAGGTGGTTTTCCTTTGATTCAAATTCCAAATCCACACAGCAAGCACTTCCCATCCACATTTGCCTGCCCCCCATTTTATTAACTTGTCCCTAGTTAACAATCCCATCTAACATAAGCAATGAAACTGAATAAAATGAAGCATTTCATCCTTCTGTCATCATAATTGGTAGCCATAGATTTGACAAACACCCGAAGTTAATAACATCTGTAATCCTTTATATCACCAGTATGGAAATTAAGAACTAAAACAACCTACCAGAAGATAAGCAATTAGTCCCATCTCTAAAAACAATTCTCCAACTTTTAGCTCTAGGCACTCAACTTGTTACAATGTTTACTCAAATTTGATGGTAAAAGATCGTTCCATAGTGAAAGGGGATAGCTTACTGATACTACTGTCAATGTTGATAGATTGATTTATTCGATGATGCTTGTAAAATGACAACAAAAATCTTAATGTGATATAACAATTCTAGTGATTCTAATAAGCAATGATTGATCCTTATTTCAATAGTTTCTCAGATATGAATCTTGGACTCTTTAGTCAATTTATCTAAAAACTAGAGTTTGAATTTGAGAAGGGAAAGAAAAGTTTACACTAAAAATGCATCAAAATCCTAAAATATTAATACTGTGAAGAGATTATGCACGATGGAAGAAGAATATTAATCCAACAATTTGACAAACTTAAGAGCATATCACAAATGCCAATGAGAGTTTGAACGAGCTAGGTTGTTGGAAAACCACAATCAAAAGTCAAAAAGGAAATCATGGTCCAAATTTCTTGACCTATACTTCAAAAACAAAAGCAACCCACCAAGAAACAACAATTACTAGAATAATCCATCAAAACCCGAAGTTTGGAATGCACAATAGTTAAGATGCAAGATAACATTAAAAGTAATACCTAATCAAACAACTTTATAAAATTAGATCATTATGTTAGATAGATTTGATAAAAGAATCCAATCAAAAGTCTTGCAGAAAAAAACCAAATCTATCTATTCATCACCTAGACTTAAAGAACTAAAAATCAGTTCACCAAAATGAAATTGTAGTCTAACAATCTCCCAAACCCCCCAAATCGCAGTAAAGAGAACATGTAAAATAACACAAAAATATTAATTTAATATATTGATCGGGTCAGATCTGGTGCTTAAACCTAAAAGTTTAAGCATATGCTTAAACCAATTCTATTGGCTGAAAGTATTTTTGTTAATTTATTACAGGTTGTTAGTTAGATTATTATTAAGGGTACATTAGGTATTAGGAAAAAACTACTAATTAATAGAAAGAGAAAAAACAAGAAATAAAAGCCTAAACAATTTTGTATTTGTACCTCCCGCAGCCCATCCTCCCGGCATGGCCTCAATCATCCTGTCGGCTGCCGCCATCCACCCACCGGCGACAACGCCTAGAATAGGTGATCGCGCCAACGCCGGCCAGTCCTCCTATCGGCAAAGGCCGCAGTGTCTCCTACGCCATCATTCCTCTGCCGACAACCCGTCCACCATCTCATCGCCATTCCGCCGCCAGCATGTCGATAGTATTTATACACGGAGATTTCTGTTATATCGTCGCCCTCAGCGGGATATCGGACGCGCATCCGCCGTTATGCATATATTTGAATATCGTGTTCGTGTGTATATATTTTGTTGCTAACGTTTTATGTTTTCTTTTTGAATAATGATGAGTTATCATTAATAACGTTTTTCATATCGTTGATGATACATCCCCGAAACATTTGATACGAGAATAGAAGATTGTTAACAATGGGCCAAGAACCGTTAATATTTTAATTGGGGGTAACCATTAAAGTTATATGATTTGTGATAAAAAAAAAAGAGATTGTTAACAATATTTTTGTAAGTAGCAAAAAGTTATTAACAAAACGTTAATAATAATTTTGTTATATCGTTAATGATACATCGCATAAACATTGATAACATTTCATTAGATTGTTAACAATGTGCTTAAAACGTCAATAATTAGATTTCTTGTAATTTTTAACATTGATTACAATTAATTACATCAATGTTGATAACATTACATTAGATTGTTAACAATGGACTTAAAATCGATAACAATGTTACAACAAAGCATTGATAACAAAATTGAAATTCATTGACAACAAAACCACAATTATTAATAATGAAGTGATTGTTAACATTACATCAATGTTGATAACATTAACCTTGTAATAAAATTATGCTAAGTTGATAGAGCTAAAAAATCGTTAATAACGTAACAACAAACCATTGAAAACGAAATTGAAATTTGGTGACGGTCAAGCCATAATCATTAATAATGAAATGATTCAATATTAAGTGTCAGATACCACAAAAAATGTTAAAGAAACTGAGGTTTTCCATTCAAAACATAACAAATTTAACAACCAAACTATCAACAATGCTATTTTAAATCCTTAATATCTTCTGCGTATTTTGTTGACGATGGAAGAATATTTGTTACTAAAAGGCAATTTGCCATTAATTGTTGACAAACACAAAACGTTGACAACAATGTATGTTTTAAGTTTTAACACAAAAGATTAAAGCCAATTCACCATTAATTGTTCACAAACAGTACTACTCGACGGCCACAAGCGGCCTCGGTGACAAGCAAACTCGGCGACGACAAAGAACACCAGAAGGTAAAGCGACGACGACAACAAGAAGCTCCTTCCTATTTGTTAAGCAACGACCGGCTCCTCGACGATGACCAACTCCCTCTTCGTTAAGCGACGACGACGAACACCGGGCTATCCTTCCTTGACGATGACAAGCTCCCTAGTCGAAATCATGAACCTTCCTTGCCGGCCGGAAACGAAAAGGCAGAAGGAGAGCTGGCACCCGTAGGGAAGAGAAAAGGCAGATTTATTTGTTTCATGATTCACGTTTAGTTTCCTTTAATTGTGGAATTATATTAAATTTTAAATAAATAAAATACATAATTTACCTCAACACCCTTAACTAATTACTAACTAATAACTCCTATTAACTACCTAGTTTACTAATAGTCAATAGGATTGATTTAAGCATATGCTTAAACTTTTGGGATTAAGCACAGGAACCTAGGCCGTTGACGGGAGCCATCATGCATCCACATCAATGAGCTGGTTTCATATACCCACTTCTAATCAATATCTATAATTTAAATTTAAGCGTATATAGAAATAATGCAAACTAATCACCCACGTACCAATTTTATACTACAGCTAGTCTCCCCCGAGAATCTCGAACATCACGTGTAAATTCCACGAGCTTCTTGAAAATTTCGTTGAAAATTAAGTTAAAAGTATAATATTTGTCCGCGTGCATTTTGGTATAAATAAAAAGAAGCGTAGACTGGCGGATCGGAAGGTTTTCACTAAACCCTAGATCATGGGTTTGAAACTGGGTTGTGCCATTTTTAGTTCCAGACTTATTTTCTTAATTACTATTATTTCCTGTAAGTCCTTTAGTTTCAAAATTAGATTAGCTAGTTGTAAAAAAAAAAAAAATTAGCTAAAAGTCTACCAAATTAGATTAGCTAATTGACTTCCAAATTGTATATTTCTTTTTCTCAAGTCTTTTTATTCAAAACAAGATCAATTGAGACAATATCTATTAAGTTTTTAACTAGAAAATTTCAAAATATTATATGGATTATACAATATTAAAACACATTATTACTTTTTCCTATATTTTTCATAGCAAAATTTGTTAGTTCATACCTTGTTTTCAGCGATGTTATTCATTTTAAAAAGTATACTTATCATATTAATTCAAATTTTTTATATTTTTAACCAATTCTAACATATTTTTTTGCGCTATTGGAGTAAGAACTTTTGGGCCCCGAATACCAAATCCTGGCTCCGCCCCTGATTCTGATCGTTACATTATCATTGTAGTATCTAGCTAGTAGTTGGGTTTATATGTGTGTGTGTGTTGTCGTATCTGACCATGGAACTTGACGAGAATGGTTGATCATTTCTCACATACACATATGTCTGGGACGTAGGTAATGCATGTATCTGTGACAAGTTAATACAAAGAAAGAGATGGAATGATGGTAATTGTGGCAGCGTCATCACACCTAGGAAGAGTGCTCAGCATCTACCACAATGAAAGTAGATAACTCATACTAATTTTCATATATCTTTCTCATCTTTTTTATACATAAACAAACACCTTATTTCGTATCTTCTTTTGCACTCTAAACTATTCAGTTTTTGTTTACCCACGATTTAGCTCGACTGACAGCAATCCTCCATATATGCAGCAGTTTGAGGTACATTATATCTTCTTAATCTTGGAATAAATGATGAATTCTTTTTAATGAGTTAGGGGGACTCTAACCATTAGTTGACTATCCATTTCAGGTCGCAACCACCACCTTCCTTTCTCATAGTTGAGTTAGTTGTGCCTCCAAGGGCAATGGAAAACTCGTCGGTCTCATCAAGTTGCAAGGTGAGATTGTAGACACATATATGTTATGTGTTGTATAATATGATGATATTATAAAGAATCACAACTAATCAATCAATTACCTTGACTCCTAAACCTTCAATTTTGAACACAAACCCAAAATCCCAAAATCTGAACCCTAACCCTAAATTCCTAAATACTTCAAATCAAAGTAAATATTTAAATTTTTTTTTGTAAATTCATGAGGTTTCATGTCTATTATATCACAAGTAATGATTGACATCGTTTTGACATGAATCGCCTACTCAAAATGGCGATTATGAGGCGGGTGCACTGAATGCACCAAAAAAATGTGAGTGCACCGAAGACACCACCATATATATATATA